GGAAAAGACAACATCATCTTCAAAAGCAATCCTCCAAGCAGCATTAGCACACACCTTGTCAAGTCTCTTAAAGACTCTATCCAGATGAAGCCATTTTGGACCTCTCCATGTAAATTGAGCACCTTTACACCCTAGATCACACAAGTTATAATCATTAATTACAGAAGCAAATTTCAGGCAATGATGAATATTAACTGGAGCCCCTCATCTTTTTTCACTAGGTGAAGCAATTTCTTTGAAGTCCCTCATTATCATATAAGGATCCACCAGACCCCTACTAATTTTAATCAACTCATCCCATAAAGGTAGATACAACTTATGTTTAAGATTAGCATTAACCACAGTTAGGAGGAAGTCAGACACATCGGGCTTGGAAACAGAAGAGTGAATAAATTGCTCAGATTTTTCCACGACAGTAACACTGTAGGAGTTATCTTTCCACATAATCCAGATACCACCCGACATACCAAAAGCATCTTGAATAATGTAATTTTGAAAACCCAATTGTTTTATTATTTTTTAACAACCTTGATGTTGCAACTCGGCAAGTGCACCGGTTGTTAAGTAATAAAAATGTACCGGAGTACGAGATCGTTCCCACGAGGATTGGTTTTCAAGCACTAGTTCGCTAATCACGATTTAGTTGGACAATTAATATTTGGATTAAGAGAATTGAAATTGAAAGAAATTACTAGCATGCAAATTAAAATTTAGAATTAAAAAAGAACAATTGGAAAAATGATTCATTAAGAATTTAAAAACAAGCGTACTTAGGGTTTTGACTTCCCTCAATCTCCTCTTTTTGCTATGAATTAAACTGTCAAGAATATATTCTTAAAATATAGCCAATCAATTCCTTCTAAGTTAATTAGGGCTCAATTCCTTGTTACCCTTAATCTATGTGATCTTGAAAGAACTCTAGTTCCCCGATTATTCCCCAAGAAAACATGCATTAAGATCAAGAATTTAAAGATTGCACAATTGCCCTATGTCTATTCCTAGATCACAAGAATTATGATAAATTTACCAAGTCAGGGTTCATGCACCAACATCCCTATTGTCATACAATTCCCCTAAGTCAATCTATAAGGAGCAAACTCATAGAAAGCATTAAAGGCAGATAAATTTATTCAATTATAAAAAGAGAAGAATTCAGAGACAATTTAACTCATAAACATAAGGATTCAATTGGATTCCATCTACCCTTAACTATAAAAAAGTCTAGCTAGCATACTGAATTCAAAAGCAATAATAAAGAAAAGAGAACCTCAAGCCTCCATTGGTGTGATGTTGACTTGGTTCCTCAGTGTTACAATGCTCCGCAACAAGATTCCTCCTTGTGCTTCTTCAGACGTCTCTCCGTTGTTGAATGAATGAATCAATTGGTCCCAAGGCCCTCTATTTATAGATGAGAATATGTTTTTTTAATTCTTCTTCTAATCTTCGTGAAATCTCGTTCATATCTTGCTTCAGATACAAAATCCATCATGGGCCTGAATTTGACCGCTTCAGGACGTTTTAGCGCTCTGTTAAAACGTCATCTTAGCTTGTTCTTGTCTGCCTCAGGGCATTTTAGCGCGTTGTTGGGCGCTAAAACGCGCTCCTCCAGTGAGTTTTAGTTGTTTTTCTTCATTAAAGCGTTTAAACGTGATGGTGGGCGCTAAAACGATCTCTTGCAGCTTGTAAACACTTGTAATCTTGCTTCTTTGAGGCTTTCAATCATCTTGTTGCATTCCTTTAGCTCTAAAAAGCCTTGATGGATGTAAAAATCCCTTGAAATAAGAATTATTACAAGATGTTAGCTAGATATTCAATCTTTATGATATTATAGTGTAAAACCCTAATTTTCATGCAATTCATGATATATTTCTTGTATAATTAAGCCTAAAACCATGGTAAACCAATGGTTTATCACTTGATCCCACTGACGCGAGGCTCAACAATAGCAACTAAACTGACTTTATATTTACGAATGAAATTTGTCAGGATTACTTTGAATTGTTTCTTTGCCGCACCCTGCAAAGGTGAGCCAGGATTTAAGGTTACCTGGAAACTCGTGTCACTAGTCTCAAAGGACTTATTGGCAGCTGAAGATTCACATTCCATCTCAGAAGCACCTACAGGTCCATTCCTTTCCAGCTTGGGTTTATCGTCTGGTGAGTTTGGTGGTTTGTTATTTGAATCTCCAAGCATGATTTCTCTATCAATTCCTGCAGCAGGTTGCAGATCAGTCCTCGTAACATGTTGCTCATAGGCTAACACCGTTGGGGAAGGGCTTATGGCAACTTGGACACTTTGCACTCCTTCAATAGCATATGAAGGATTCTCTCCCTTAGTTTGCTTCCTCCTCCTAGCCTCTTGGTTTTTTTATAGGGACCTAATCTTTTGATCTAGGCTTTGTAGTCACAGAGGGTTGGACTTGGACACCCTTAAGTTCCCCAATTAGATCTTTGGATAACCTAAATGATGAAACCCCTTCCACCAGAGTAGCAACACCTCTAACCTTTTTACCTTTTTTTTGTTTTCATTTTATTTTCATCCATTGTCATTTCCTTTGGGGTCATAAGTAAGTTGCTAGGCTCCTGTAGATCAGATAATACATCAAATCCATTGCTTGCAACTGTGCCTGAATAACTTGCCTGACCATTGCTCATCTCCTTGGCTGTCACAAACTCTCTGCTAGTGTTTTTCTAATTATCCATCTTTCCCTTATCTCCTGCTCTCAAACCAGGTTGAAATCGATATTCTCTGATCTATCATCCTAGGGCCTAGGCCTTTGTTCTTCTTCCTTTCATCCACATTCACTGGATTGGGGGCAGGTTTTGGAACAAGGACATGGATTGAAAGGAACACCTTAAGCTTTACCAGATCAGGGAAAAACTCCTTGTTGTGACCATATCTCCCACAATGGAGGCAAATGGAGTATAAGCCTTCATATTCTACCATTTTCCTCTCCCCTTCCAGCCTGTATTCTCCTCTAAGAGGTTTAGCTAAATCTAATTCAACACAGGCATGTGCAAATTGTCCTCGATCATGCCCAGCCGTTGTTTTGTCAACCTTTAAGACTTTACCCATGAGGCTTCCTAAATGCTTCAGGAAAGGTTCTTCATAGCACTCCATAAGTATGTCTGGAAATCGAACCCAAGCAGCCACCTTCAGTATGTCTGCTTTCCTTGGGTTGAATTGAGGTTCCCACGCTCTCACCGCGAGATAGTGACCCAAAATAACCCAAGGACCCCCCAGTAACGGCCAATGACATATCTTCTATATTAGAAAATTTGACCGTATAAAAATCATTACCTAAGTCTGCCACAATGATGCTTCCTTGTTTCGCCCATATGGATTCCAGCCTCTTCTTCACGAATGTAACCCTAATCTTCATAGCCTTCTCCCAACCTTGTCTCGTACGTTTCTTTGCTTCCTTTAAGCATATGACATTCACGATTCCATCCTCCTCAACAATCAATTGGTACCCCCAGATAGAAATTTCTCCTTTTGAGTCATCTAGCGGCTCACAATCATCATCAACAAAGATTTCTAACCCCTGATAGACCATTTTCCTTCCATCGTGCATTGATCCTCAAAGCTTCGCAAGCAATGAAAGCCCAGAACTTCCTTTAGATTTCGCAGGTGCATTGCCCTCTACCTTCTCCCCAATCTTGTTCCTTTTAGTACTCCGATGAAGCTTGTCATCCTCCTCTACCATTGTTGTCACCGGGCATGTTTTGGAGTTCTCGCTTACACCAAATTGAATCGGTGCAGCCATCTCTGCCCCCTTCGAATAATAATACCCAAATCTTAAACCGGAGGCGTACCTTCTACACAACAACTTGTACTCACTGAAACGACGCCAAACGCTCGTTGTTCTCTCTTTCCTCGACTCCGCATCGGAGATCCGAGGAGTTTAGGAAACCCTAGCGTCACTTTATAAGAATAACCCAATGAATAATAATTTTTCTTTGGTAAAATATAAAATGGGGTTCTATTTTCTCTTGTTGTTGGGGATATGTATCTTTTACCATAAACGTATGATATGATGGGGCCCACTACCCATTAAAAAAAAGTGGTGGCACAATTTTTATATGAGAAGAGCATGAGATAATTATCTGTTGTAAAATAAGAGAATAATTTTCAATATAAGATAAAGTTATAACTTAAAATAATGTTACGAGAACAATATTTCTTTAGAACTTATTTTCCTTAATTAAGGTTCTCGAATTTGAGCCAAAACAATTCTTTTGGAGAAGATAATTCTATAATAAATACTGAAAAACTATACTTTAACCAAATAGTCGATTAATCGATAAATTAGTGGGTATGTCCAAAATAATATTATAAGGTTTAAAAAACAATACAAAATATTTTTAGAAAATTCATTAAAAATAAATAAAATTCTCAAATGCCCTAATTTTTCCAAAATAAAAACATGATGTCATTTTAGAATTGAAAAAGATAATTATCTCAATTAAGAGAAAAACATTCTTCTCGTTATTTATCAAAATGTGAAATGATTTTAACTTTAATTGACAAATTTAAAATAAAAATAAGAATGAGTTTAAATTTTTTAAAATTACAAAAATAACTTTATTTAATGTTTATCAAAACACATATACAAAATATGTAAGATACGTATTTTTTTTCTCTCTTCTCTTTATATTAGTTTATATCAAATCATATATTTTTTTAGGGTTTTACTTCTCTCATGTTGTATGAGAGAAGTTATTTCATGTTATGAGATAAATTAAGTGGGGTCCACCAATTTTAAAAAAAAGAAAGAAAAGAGATGCACGTCTTTTTACGTGAGTGTACAATGAAATACGAATCTTATTTAGCATAAGAATATAATTTCCCATTTTTTTATGTGTATTTTAATGAATATTAAATAAAATTATTTAAAATAATTTTATGTGTGTATATCTCATGCAACTCGTAATTTGTGTTTAAGAGATATTTATTATTTGAAATTAGTTACCCTCTGATTCCATAGGTTCGTTATCCACAGCACTCCGTTTCAAACATAAACCCTAAAAAAACCCTAATTTCAATCACCAATCTTGTACTTCCTTCATTGTTCTATCTTCTTGGTTTTCCATGGAGGAGCGGGAGAATCTGCAGTTTACCGAAAACTTCGTCTACGAAATTCTCAGCCCACTCTCTCTTTCCTCCGCCGCCGCCGCCGATTCCCCAGTTTCCGACCACCTCGAACCCTATTCCGTTTTCCGCAACGAGATTTCTCTCTCCACTCTCCGATGCACTTCATCGGATTCCGCCGCCCCTGATTTCTTCTCCCTCGACGTCGCCGGCGAAGCTTCCGGCCGAGACCCCCTCCCCGAGCCGGTTGGGACACCCGAGCCGAAGACGCCGGCTATTGCGCCGCCAGAGCCGAAGCTCGAGAGCGGTTGGTTTCGTGGGAATTGCAAATTTCGCAGTCCCATGCTTCAGCTGCATAAAGGTACTGAACTGAATTGTTTTCAAGGACCAATTAGATTTTTAGATGGTGCATGTGTGTTGGGTAGAAACCATTTAGGGCAAAATAGGTTCAAGTTTTATCACTATAGATGGTTTTGTAATTTTTCCTGGGATTATTGGTATACAGAGATAGTGGATTTTTGTGAATTTTTGTCACCTACCCCGGAAGAGAAAGCTGCACGCAACATGGCAATAGAATCTGTATTTGAGGTTATAAAACATATATGGCCTCACTGCCAGGTATTGAAGTCATTTAGCTATTGCGTCATCCCTTTCATCTTATTCTTGTAGGGTTTTAAGTTTCAATGGATGTATGCTTTTGTTGCTTTCAGGTAGAAGTCTTTGGGTCTTTCAGGACGGGGCTGTATCTTCCTACTAGTGATATCGATGTAAGTCCTGCTGATATCATGATACTCAATCTTCCTTATGGACTGTTGCATTTGGCTAGCTGATGCATTGCTATCAAATTCTTTAACTGCAGGTTGTTATTCTGAGGACGGGCTTACCTAATCCACAGATTGGCTTGAATGCAATTTCTAGGGCGTTGTCACAAAGGGGCATGGCTAAAAAGATACAGGTCTGGTCAGAGTACTTAATTATCAGTATTTTCATTGCCAAGAAAAAATAATCATTCTTGTCAATACTCTAAGTATCTGGTATTTTGCTTGTAAATCTTTTGCAGGTCATTGGAAAGGCCCGTGTGCCAATTATCAAATTTGTTGAAAAGAGGAGTGGTGTTGCATTTGATATAAGGTTCAACATTATCCTCTTGGATTTTGGGTCTTAAAATTTTGTTGCATTACTAGATTTTTTTTAAATAATTTTTTTCCTTTTTTCTGATTGATTGTTATATGCTTATTTGACTTAGTAATCTGTATTTGTCATCATTAAGTATATTTTAGATTTTTAGTTCACTGATCACTTTATTACATTCAATATTTGATGAATTGTTAAACTTGCACGCCATTGCATTTGTTATATTTGTTGAATTCCAATTATGAATATCCTTATTTTCTTAAAATAACTACTAATTAAAACTACTGGAGAAGATATGATAGTTTCTATTGTTTGTGTATTGGGGAATGGGGATATTTTGTTAATGAATGCTATATATGTCATCGAATTTTTTCTTTGGCATGATAAATGTGCACGATATGAAGTTGTTTTTTCATTTTGTGCCTCTTGTAGATTAATGTATCACTGTTATATATCAAAATTCTGCTTAATTCGCTGGGTGTTATTTTCATTCCATGAGGAGAATCTTTTTTGATTTTTTTTTTTTACTTTACAAGATGTTGCTAAATACCTATTTGTCATAGGCTATAGTACACATCCACACTATTAGTTTTCTTACCATAAAATGTAATATTACAGTTACCACTTACCGCTAATTGTGAAAAGTCATGACCGAATTATTATGATTCTAGTTTCTTTGTTGTATACTAAAGATAGATGCGTGGTTGTCATGTTGCTCAATATTGTTTGCAGAAAAACAATTAAAACCTATTTCAGTATGAAGTTTTTGTCAGTTTCACTGATCCATTGAGGAATTATGCTTTGTTTCAGTTTTGACATAGACAATGGACCCAAAGCTGCTGAGTATATTCAGGTTGATTTTATATTTTCCCGTACTTAGTTTGAAGATGCATTTTCTAATATTGATTTTAGATTCTATGTTGTGAGTATTTAAATTTATAATTGATGCAGAGTATGCAATATATTATTTGGCCAATACATAAAAGAATCATTACAAAATGTTGAACATAAGTGCGAATTTGAACATAATTGCATGAAATTCTTTTATGGACATGCTGTTTAAGCTATATTATGAATTGTAAAGAACCAACTCAACCTAAAAGCTTAAGCTATTGGGTGAGGCTACATTAATGGTTTTATATATCTCAACACGCTCTCTCACACGAGAGCCCACTGGGCTTGAAAGGTGGACAATGCACAGGCCCACCTACCTGTGCGAACAAAGAAATTCCATTTGAAAGAAACTGGGGGGCGGCGAGGATCGAACCCGGGACACGAGGCTCTGATACCTTGTAAAGAACCAACTCAACCCAAAAGCTTAAGCTATTGGGTGAGGCTACATTAATTGTTTTATATATCTCAACATGAACCTTGTTATCATGGTAGTCAAAATCACGTGTCGACTCATAAGATCATATGATCTTTCAAGTTTTTAAACCATGGGCATGCCAACTCAATTGCAAAATTGTAAGTGAATGGGATTGTATAGGTTTGTCAAACAGAATTGTAAAACCATGGGATCGTGCGATTCCCTGTTCTGGATGATACGGGAAAATACCCATCCGTCTGAGAAATATGTGAGGATGAGAAAGAGTGAGAAGAGAAGCGGAATGGAACCTGTAGTCTGGAGTTGGTGGTGACAAAGCTGTTTTCAGAGACTGGGTTGGCGCCGAAGAAGGCAACCACAGAGTCCTCTGCAAGCGAACCTCATGCCATTGGGGAGAGAGAGAAACGTCTTTCGAATAACTGTATCCACATGTTTCTGATTTCCATCCTCTTCACTTTTTTCTGTTATTTAAATGGAAAAAGTATTAGTTCTTTTAAAGGATAAAATATTATTTCATTTTAAATAAAACGACTGTGTTTTAAGGTGAGAGAGACTTGTCTCACACAAAGGAAGATCATCGTGGGGGATAGTGAAAGGTTATTGATGGAAAATTTTTTAATTTAAACATTAAGTGAAACACTACCATTTGACACAATATTTTGTCCTTTAAAAGAACAAACATTTTTCCCTATTTAAATTTGTAGTTTTCAACTTTACTTCTTTCCTTTTTTTTTCTATTATTTAAATTTGCAGTTTAAAACAGATTTACAATATAAAACTTTTATATAATTAATAAAAACTGACTTTTTTTTTTTATAATTTGGAGTTGTTAATTAAATTTTAATAGTGATTTAAATTTTATTTCTTTTTATTTATCTTATTTTATAAATATATATGTCTTAATAGAATTTTATATTTTAAGTAAGATCTTTACGATCCGTGTTGATTTCGCGATTTTCGATTTTCTCACTCCCTTCTGATCTTTATTAAGATCTTGAGTTTGAGTACCTTGCATGTTATGTTGATCGAGCTGATAATAAGGTAACCTATGTTTACATAAACATATACAACATCTTGGAAGCATATAATAACACCGCTATTGCATCACTCTCTTTTGGTGTAGGGTCAATTTACTAACTTGTATGTGGTACTTGGCTGATATTTTTGGTATTCTTATTTTAATAACATTACATTATGCATGAAGTTGCTTTGCTTGATTAGAGCATTCTAACTTTAAATTCTTTGGATTCAATATTGTATTGTTTTAGCTTTCGACTCTGGAATGGGGTCCTTGTGGCCTATATGTTCCTGTGTCTGCATTGCACTGTTAAAATATCAAAAATACCTTCAAAAGTAAAATTCCAATTAGCACGAGGTGTGCACTCAGTTTTCTTTTTGTTTAAGGAAATTAATATGGAAACAGAACAGCAAATATTCTCTTGAGTGTTCTGTGTTGGATGGAGCATTATGTATATTATTGTTCATGGTTGAGCCGTTGAATTTGCAGGAAGCAGTGGCTAGGTGGCCATCACTACGGCCGTTGTGTTTGATTTTGAAAGTATTTTTGCAACAAAGAGAACTAAATGAGGTAGAATTTTTCTTAAATATGTTATATCTTTCCTATCTTGTAATGATCTGGATTCCAGTCTGCCTAATTGAAGATTCTTATAATGAATGCAGGTATATTCTGGTGGGATTGGTTCATATGCCCTCCTTGCCATGCTGATGGCCATGTTGCGGGTTAGTGATTCTTAAATATGCTTTCAAAGTTCGCTATAAGGCTTTTCTATTCAACATGTGATCCACCTCTATATCAACAACAGAAATAAACCCTGAAATTCACTTTTTTCTTTCTAATGCATTGTAATCTTTGGCATTGCATAAAACTCGAAGCACTTCTTTTTGCCAATGACATGCTCTAAGTTTGTGATCATTATATGATTCAGAATCTTCGTCAGAGCCAAGCTTCTGGAGAGCACAATTTGGGGGTTCTTTTGGTGCGTATTTTCTGAACAGCAGTTTTGCATGTTTATTTCTTGGGTGCTGGGCAGTTAGAGGCTCTTCTTCAATGATTGGCATGTTATTTTTTTAATATTTCCAATATTTTAAAGGAGAGAACTGTACTGCATGGCATTGTTTGGATAACTGTCTCCTATCTGGGATGTAGAGTAAGAAATCTATCAAAATTTCCATTCTGATGATGTTTTTTTGTTTTGGGGAAACTAGGTGCATTTTTTTGATTTCTACGGACGCAAATTGAATGCCTCAGATGTTGGTGTGTCTTGTAATGGGGCAAGCACCTTTTTCTTAAAGAGTAGTAAAGGGTAATAAAGGAATGTGGATATATTTGTGAAGAAATGTTATTTTTAATCATGCTGTACAATTGATTTTAGAATTTATTAATTTTTCCTTTTGTCATCTGCCAGGTTTTCAGCCAAAGGACGACCGTTTATTATTGGCATTGAGGATCCACAGGTTTTCCTTGAAGAACACCCTTCTGCTCATAAAATAAAAATTTTCTTTTTGGCCAATCATATAAAGCAAGAAAATGGACTTTTTATAATTTTCCTTCTAGCTTTTATTTGCAATTCTTGTTTTTAAGACTATTTGAAGTTCTGTACTAGGAGCTTTTTTTAGTGGGTGTGGTTGGGGATAAAATGGGTTGAATTGTCTCTGGTTCTCTGTTCAGTTTGTTTTAGTGGAGTCTTGGTTTCTGATAAAGAGATTGGACAGCTTTGTTGTATTCTTGAGCTTGGGATCTTTTTTTTTTTTTTTTTTTTTTTTCTATCTCTATGTTGGACGATATTTGATAATCTTCCCTCAGTCACACACTCTTTTATGGTTGCATTTTTTCCCGCCCTTTGTTGGTCCCTCTACTTTTCAAAAGCAATGATTGTTTTGAGTCTCTATTTCCATTTCCAAAGCCATGATCCATACTCTGTCAGAGAAATTGCTATGCTGAATATTTTGTGAAGAAATAGATTAAAATTGGAAATCAAAGATATTTGCTTACCAAAGTTCTAAAAAACATAATTGGTACTGGAGAACTGGAGATTACCCAAGCAGGAGTTGAATATTGTCTTATAAGTCTCTGTCTTGTCCATTTTCTGCTGTAAATACCTCAAAATTACTTTTCCAATATACAACATATAATATGAAGTGGATTTGCGCGTATTATTTTTTGCATCGAGACACAAGTTATTATCATCGGTATGGATAATTGACTAAATTTTTTCTTATGGCTGAATTAGGCACCAGAGAATGACATTGGGAAGAACTCCTTCAATTATTTCCAGGTTTGTTTATTATCTTTCTTATAATAATGATGTTTTTGATATTGTGTCTAGAAAATGTTCTCTTAAGACTTGAGAGTGTTTTTGAGGCAACCATTGCTTTGATCTTCCTATTTTTCTATCCACGACTTTCATTTTGATTTCCGGAGTTGATTAAGTTCTGGCCGGGTTTACTACTATTTTTTGTTGATCCAGCTTATTGTCCCTTTTCCTAGTAGTTAGAAGGGATAAATCACTATCCGTTTCTTTTTCCTTCCTCTTACCCTTTTTTTAATGATAACGTTTCCATGTGCATCTTGTTATTTTTGTGTTCATCAGCATGCAAATGTGTGACTAAAATGCAATTCTATTTATTTTTTTAACAGATTAGGTCAGCTTTTGCAATGGCCTTCACAACTTTGACAAATCCCAAGATCATCCTGAGCTTAGGACCGAACAGGAGCATTCTTGGCACTATAATTAGACCAGACCCTGTCTTGCTGGAGCGTAAAGGGGGGTTGAACGGGGAGGTGACTTTTAATAGCTTGCTTCCTGGTGCTGGTGAGACATTACAACAACAGTATGGAGAGCAGGATATGTTATGCAACTGGCAGTTAGACTATGAAGAAGAACCACTACCACGGGGAATTGACACCGGTGCAGAGCCTAGCACACGCTCTTCAACAAAGAAGAGAAAATCTGCATCAAAGGAGAATTCTAGCAAGAAGCTTAAGGAAAATGGGGATATTCGGATGGTTAGGCATGAAGACAATGACTCTAGAAAAGAGAACGGTATAAAGAAGAAAAATAGGAAAAAATCACGTGACACAACGGTCCTATAACTATTCAATAGGCCAGGGTCTAAGTGCTGAGTTTTCTTACGGATAAAATGCTTGGGGATTGTAATTTGATCACTGGTTCAAAAGTGCAGGAACAAATGCAACACAATCGGAAAGAACAATTTGGAGACGAATTTTCTCACATGAAGCAAGGTGTGAGCTTTCTGCCTGACCACTGAGGCGTGCCTTCAGCGTATCAGAAATTCGCAATCACATCCATGATTTGTTAAATTTCTTTACACATTATAGTTTTGGAAGGTGTTGTCGTCATGTGACTTAGGTCACATATTCAATTCATTTAATCACTTTCTTGCATTAGTGCAATGTAATACATAGCAGAACCCAATGCATAGCGGAAGGTTCATAGCTACTGTATCAAATTGATGTTATAGTTGTCATATGTCCAATTTTGTCGGAGAATTTACTGGAAGCCAAAAACCAACGTGAGAAAAGAAAAGGTTGATAGGATGAAAGAAACTAGTTGTGTTGAGTGTATTAGGTGTGCGGTTCGATTCCCTGTAATGTCCACAAAAAAAAGAAAACGAGGGTATGGTATTTTATCGCAACATGAATGCAGTAATTTTTAGCTGGTTTTGATAGTTTCCTGTTTTCTCTATTCCCTTACACTCTAATGGTCGAGCATACGTTTAAGTTTTGACTTAATTACAATGTAACTAACGGATGCATTATTTTTTTCAGATTGAACATAGCTTCAAAAGAGAAGTCACATTTCTCAAAAATTCAGTAATTCGCTATCTGATCCATGATCAATGCAAGTTTTTCTGGAAAAAAGGGTCTATTTTATTATTTTACCATAATGTACTAGTTGATTTTGGATGCTAACCGCAAATTACAGACCAAGTCAAAAGGTTGGGATTATGTATAATTCAATCGCTGCTGAACAATATTGACTTCATAGTAAGTAAATATCGAAGATTTGGTTCGAAATCGGGAAACATGTGCATTATTTCCAAAAGTGAGATTTTACTTTAAAATATTTTAAAATGATATGGCAATTCAAATTGAACGACTTTGTCTAACATGTGCTGTGTATTGCAAGAGTTTATTAATCGGGAAACAAGCAGAAAAAAAAAAACGCAAATAACCCGACCCGGTCATTGAGCAGGCCGGGATATTGGGTCTGGTTAGTACATAACAAGATCTCATCTCCGCTCTTGCCTGTCGTGGTATGTTTTCTACTTTTCTATAACCTAATTAAAAATTTAAAATAATAGGGCTTGATTGAAGATCAATTACGGTATAACAAAAAAGCATAAAATCAATTTTAACAAGGGAAAAGTTCAACAATGTCCTGTGATTTATTTCAGAATTACCTATTGCCCTTTTTTTCTATCACATATGCCCTATGGTTTGCAAAAGGGCATGTTTTTTTATCACACATGCCCTGTGGTTTTTTATTTTTTACAAAGCACATGCGGCATATGTGATAAAAAAACCACAGAGGCATAGGTGATTCTGAAACAAACTAGATGGGCATCGGTCAACTTTTCCCTTTTAATAACATTACATTATGTATCAAGTTGCTTTGCTTTATTAGAGCATTCTAACTTTGAAGTCTTTGGATTCAACATTGTATTGTTTTGGCTAATTCAACTCTGGAATTGGATGCTTCCTGTTTCTGCGTTGCACTGTTAAAATATCAACAATACCTTAAGGAAATTAAAAATGGAAACAGAACAGCAAATATTCTCTTGAGTCTTGAGTATTCTGTATTGGATGGAGCATTATGTATATTCTTGTTCATGGTTGAGCCGTTGAATTTGCAGGAAGCAGTGGCTAACTGGCCATCACTACGGCCGTTGTGTTTGATTTTGAAAGTATTTTTGCAACAAAGAGAACTAAATGAGGTAGAGTTTTTCTTAAATATGTTATATCTTTCTTATCTTGTAATGATCTGGATTCCAGTCTGCCTATTGCCTAATTGAAGATTCTTATAATGAATGCAGGTATATTCTGGTGGGGTTGGTTCTTATTCCCTATTTGCCATGCTGATGGCCATGTTGCGGGTTAGTGATTCTTAAATATCCTTTCAAAGTTCACTGTTTGCTCACTGGCCTTCACTATAAGGCTTTCTATTCAACATATGATCCACCTCTATATCAACGATTGAAATAAAATTCACTTTTTTTTTCTTTTTTTTCCTAATGCATTGTAATCTTTGTCATTGCATAAAACTCAAAAGTACTTCTTTTTGCCAATGACGTGCTCTAAGTTTGTCACCATTATATGATTCAGAATCTTCTTCAGAGCCAAGCTTCTGTAGAGCATAACTTGGGGGTTCTTTTGGTGCGTATTTCCTGAACAGCAGTTTTGCATATTTATTTCTTTGGTGCTGGGCAGTTAGAGGGCTCTTATTCGATGATTGTCATATTATTTTTTTTTTTTTTATTTCTAATATTTTAAAACAGAGAAACAGGTGATATAATTCTGTACTGCATGCCTTTGTTTGGATAACTGTCTCCTTTCTGGGATGTAGAGTAAGAAATCTATCAAACTTTCCATTCTGATAGTGGTTATGTAAAGAACCAATTCAACCAAAAAGCTTAAGCTGTTGAGTGAGGTTAAATTAATGGTTTTATATATCTCAAAACGTTCACTCATATGAGAGTCCACTGAGCTTGAAGGGTGGACAATACACAGGCCCACCTACCTGTGCGAACAAAGAAATTCCGCTTGAAAGAAAGTGGAGGCGGTGAGGATCGAACCCGAGACACAAGGCTCTGATACCATGTAAAGAACCAATTCAATCAAAAACTTAAGCTGCTGAGTGAGGCTACATTAATGATTTTATATATATCAACACGTTCTTTACGGGAAACTAGCTGCATTTTTTTTATTTCTACGTACCTCAGATGTTGGTGTGTCTTGTAATGGGGCAAGCACCTTTTTCTTAAAGAGTAGTAAAGGGTAATAAAGGAATGTGCATATATTTGTGAAGAAATGTTATTTTTGATCATGCTGTACAATTGATTTTAGAAGTTATTATTTTTTCCTGTTGTTATCTCTCAGGTTTTCAACCAAAGGACAGCCGTTTATTATTGGTATTTAGGATCCACAGGTTTTCCTTCAAGAACTTCCTTCTTCTCATAACATGAATTTTTTTCTTTTTTGCCAATCATATAAAGCGAGGCAAATGGACTTTTCTTAAGATGGACTTTTTATAATTTACCTTCTAGCTTTTATTTGCAATTCTCGGTTTTAAGATCATTTGAAATTCTGTACTAGGAGCTTTTTTTAGTGGGTGTGATTGGGGATAATATGGGTTGAAATGTCTCTGGTCCTCTGTTCAGTTTGTTTTACTGGAGTCTCGATATCTGATACAGAGATTGGATGGCTTTGTTGTATTCTTGAGCTTCTTTGGATCTTGTTTTATTCCTATCTCTTTTAAGGTTGCATTCTTTTCTGCCCTCTGCTTGGTCCCTCTACTTTTCAAAAGACATGATTGTTTTGAGTCACTATTTCCATTTCCAAAGCTATGATCCATACTTTTTTTGGAGAAATTGCAGTGCTGATATTTTGTGAAGAAATAGACTAAAATTTGAAATCAAAGATATTTGCCTACCAAAATTCTAAGAAACATAATTGGTAGGGGATAACTGGAGATTACCCAAGCAGGAGTTTAATATTGTCTTATAAGTCTCTGTCTTGTCCATTTTCTGGTGTAAATACCTCTCAATTCACTTTTCCAATGTACAACAAATATTGTGAAGTGGATTGGCGCATATTATTTTTGCATCAAGACACAAGTTATTATCGTAGGTATGGATAATTGACTAAAATTTTTCTTCTGGCTGAATTAGGCTCCAGAGAATGACATTGGGAAGAACTCCTTCAATTATTTCCAGGTTTGTTTATTGAGATATGATGTTGTTACTATCAATTAGTGTTATTATCAATGTCACTACTAGTTTGTTTAACCGTTAGATTGATTATGTTGATCCAAAAGTTATATTTATTTCCACCTTTGTATGGTTATGATTCTCCATATTTGTGAAAGCATTAAATATGAAAAATCATAACCATACAAATGTGGAAATAAATAAATTATTAAATATAAGGAGAAGAAAGAAGGTTTTTAGAAAGTTAAATCAGAACCGTTTGATCAACGTAATCAATCTAATGGTGAAATAAACCGGTAGTAACATTGGTAGTAACTAGGGGTGAAACTGGGCCGGGCTGGCCCACAGGGGCCTACAGTCCGGCCCATTAGTGGCCTGGCCTGACTCGGCCTTTTTACTTGGCAGGTTGGGTTTGGGCTGATGTAAAAGTTTGATTATATAATTGGGCCGAAATGTTAATTATAAAGCCTGGCCCATGAGCCTCCAAGGCTGGCCCAATTATTCACCTTCATTATTTTTTAGCACAGCCTACGCCCTACGAGAGTCCCATTATACTTCCGTCAGTTCCGTGTTTCCTTGAGTGAATAGTGAAGACTTAAAGAGAACTGAAGAGGGACTCTTCTCCAATTGTTAGTGTAGCTCTCTCCCTCGTCTTGAATCTTCCTATCTTCGAAGGTCCTTCTCTTTCTTTTACTCCATTTTCCTTTTCATTTTCCCTACTTTTTCCTTTTCACCATAATCACACGTAGCAGCAACACTAACTAGATTATAGGGTTTAGGGTTTTGGTTTGCTCTTCTTATAATTGCAAGTGATTTGAGAAATTAAGATGAAATTGATGATTTTCTGGTCTATTTATTTGTTTCTTTGTCTTTCTTCTTTTGCAGAATCGTGATGCCCAGTCCTTGCTTTTTCTGACATTAGCAATATTGTATATATTTTTTCTATTTTAAGAGAGAAAGGGGTTTGGGTTGGGGGACTTGAACTGATTTAAAACTAGAAGGATGCTTTTGTACCTTTTCTGTGTATTTTAAGAGGGAAAAGGGTTTGGGTGGGTGATTCCAAAAACTGTAAACTGATTATTTTCATAGCCTTGTCTAATAAATATATAAAAATAAGCAAGAATAAATTTTTTTAGGATTTAACGGGAAATAGTTTATATATCAAATTGCTTAACTGCATTTACATATTTACTTTTTATAACTTGCATCTTTCACTAATCGCTTTTGTATGTGGAAAAACACACTGCAGCTTGTCCGCCCTAATTGAAAACAAGATTTTCAATGTTCATGGTGGTCTTTCTCCTGCCATTTCAACATTGGATCAGGTTAGAAATTCTACCCCAGTTTATTTGTCTTAAAGTCTTAGATTGTACATTAGCAATATTGTATATATTCTTCTTTTTTCATATCCAGATACGAATTATTGATCGGAAGCAAGAAGTACCTCATGATGGTGCTATGTGTGACCTCCTCTTGTCAGATCCTGAAGATATTGTAGATGGATGGGGGCTGAGTCCCCGTGGTGCTGGTTGGTAATGGAAGGATATAAATGGATGTTCAATAACCAGATAGTTACTGTCTGGTCAGCTCCAAATTATTGCTACAGGTGCATAATCGATTAAAATGACTGTTCTTATTTGTGTTCTGATGCTTTTAGTAAGACATTTTCGTCTTTGTTACAGATGTGGTAATGTAGCTGCAATTCTGGAGTTGGATGGGAATCTTA